AGCCATAACTTCAACAGTTAAGCACTGCTGTTTTTACACCATAACATGATCACATGAAGTGTTTGCTCCCTTTGAAGGCCACAGTCTACTCTTTCACATTGGCCAAAAAAGGAAATCAAGCTCCCCTCCTTAATGACATAGACATTTAACTTATGGCTGTTTTCACTGCTGAGCAAAGCTCTCATGTTCGATGGTGACGTTCCATCACAGTGGGAATTTGCGAGCTCAGATCCCAGGCAGATGTCAATAAAACTCGTACTACTTTTGGAAGGTTAACAGTGGTGATTCCACAGAAAAACGAGATCCCACCAGGATGGGAAAGCGGATTTCCCACGTGTGCCGTCGGCGCGGCCGACTGCTAGGTTGTCGGAGCGTGGTGAAGTCGAGCACCTGCACGCCCAGCAGCTTTAAGGAGGATGAGCCCTGTGGCCATCACAGTCCCCAGTTAACGTCTTCATAGTTGCAGAAAAGAGATTTAAAATTTTTCTCGACAATAATATAAATACTCTTTGGTTCTTTCGGTAAAGTCACGTAGGTATAAAATAAAATAGATCACAACGTTTCGGGCGCAACACAAGCGTCCGTCATCAGGTGGGAGTGCATGACAGACGCTTGTGTTGCACCCGAAACGTCGTGATCTATTTTATTTTATACCTACGTGACTTTACCGAAAGAACCACAGAGTATGGATTCCTGTAGTCACGAAAGCTTAAAATCAATAATATATTCCGTCCTTTGTCAATCCACTTGAATAATATGCCATTTTAATTATCTGAACGCATATTAAGCATATTTGAGCAGCTAACAGAAAATTAGCAGCTGTATTTAATAAGCCAATGAGGGATAATACTACACTACCGCAAGATCTGCAAGACATGGCAGACATTGGCTACATTTATCCATCAATTTAAAATTATTCATACAGCAATATTTCCATATCTTTCTCACCATTATTTTCAATAATAATATACTGGCATCATGTTAAGTGGTGAATGCATCTGCATTCAGAGCTCTCTGATGGTCCAGTGTACCACCTGACAGTGGATAACGACCACGGAAGACGACGTCACAGAACTGCTTCATTAGTCGCTCCAATAGCCTCTTATACACGCTAGGCGGTGTACCTTGTTACATGCTCTGCCAAGACATTCACTGCACAATAATTTACTCAAATGTGTAATCCTCAACGTGGGAATATATAGAGCCTTAAGTGACAAACAAAATGCAATGATAGGGCTTTGGTGACTGGACATTGACAATAAACATATGCAACTTAATACTGTACTTCCAATTGGCAGTTTTGACCAATTGAGTTAAACCACTTTGGCAATCCACTGCTGGATGAAGGCATCTGCACGCCATGTGGAGGGGGAGGGTATTCATCTGTCTAGGGCAGACGTCACACGATGGTAAAACTTCATGTAAATCACCAAGCGGGTGAGGGAACTGAACTGTTGACCGCTTGGCAATTGGCTCACTACTGAGTCAATTGTGGTCTCATGTTTATCTCATTTCATAAATCTAAAACATGCCACACCTAACACTCAACTAGGGTGAATGGAGAAACATAACACTAACATTCTGAGTGCTATTGACATTCAATTCGGAAATTAATGTTACGTCACAAACATTAGCTGTGACAAGTGCAAAAAAATCACCGATTATGAAAAACATTGTTCAAGACATCTCAAATGTCATCAAAGAACAGACGCCCCCCGTTGTTGTGTACTGGCAGCTACCCAGTAAGAGGAAACATTGCACCATTGTAAGTTCATTCATTTACTAAAATCAGGCTGGAGCACTGTAGAAACATCTTTGGTGTATGCGGTTTCACTGAGAACTCCTCATTATGAAATTAAAACCAGTCCCGGCATGTCTAATTGTATCTCCATATACCCCTCGGACGAAAAGTATTTGACAAACAGATCCACGTAACGTACAGTAACCACGCCAAGGACTCATTTCTCCAATTACAGCATTACGCCCGGCAATGATTGTTGTGATGTTGTTGTTGTTCACTGCATCAGAAGCAATTAATCAATTCAAGTGGTACCTACAATGTACGTTACCAGTTACCGTACAAATTACATTTAAATTCGACCAGCAGTGCTGCCGGCAAACGCGCACCGTGTAAAAGAAGGCCGAAGCGCAGGATTTAAGTGACCGTGTCCAGAGGTGATGATGATTGTCCCCCTTCCTTCTCGTTTGCCCGCAAGCCACAGCATTCTAAGCAGCAGCAACACGACGGGACACAGACATGGGCAGCCAACTCGCCTCTGCTATTGCAGCAGCTTGCTTCGTTTATCAAAAGAATGTTGTTACCAACGGAATCCACCAAGCGCGGGCAATCGGCGATTGCCTTACAAGTCACAACGTCGCTCGCTCGTGCCGGCCGCATACCACGCACGCCACTATATAAGGCCAGTCTTTGAATTATTATGTGATTTTTTTTTATTAAAGCTGCCCCCCCTCTCTCTCTCTCTCCCATGTTAGGTATTAAACAAGCCACGTTGCATCTTGAAATGCTCCTCTTTTACCTAATATGAGTGGTAGATGCGTGGGGCATTGACCTCGACGACGTAATCCCGAAGACGTGGATCTACAGGATGGGTGGTGGTGGTGGTGGTGGCGGCGTTAAAGGCAAATCACCCGTAGAGTACGGACTCTTTGCACGTGCTTATTGAAGCATTTGGTTAATTCCGTTCCTCTGCCAGGTGCAGGACGCCGCAGGTATATACACGCGGGATAATTCATTAAAGCACAGTACATCTAACAGCACTTTATGACTGGTGCTAAGCATGTTAGTACACTCACTGCATGTCACTTGACCATGGTTAAATCATCTACATTTTTCACTAAACAATACGGCTTTGACAACCGACATTCCACAAAGTACAGTAAGCATTATGTACATGCAAAAAGAGATCAGATTGTGGTTTTCGCCAAACAACAATGGTCCTACTGTCGGTACACTTGCCTAGACTGTCAATCTCTCAAATATACCCTTAGCCATGTAGACAATTTTAAGCGCGGGGCTCATTATAGAAGAGAGACGTGCTCTCTGAACGTGTATACATGAGTAGGAGCATTCTGTAATTAATGAGGCTGAAATCAGGGAGACAATACACGTCTGCGTGTGTGTCAATGGCGATCAGGCAAATGAGAACCAAATCGACCGGAGTTTACAGTTACTGTACAACAATAAACACCGCGCAGTGCCCGAGTCTGGGGACCTCCACCCCAGGGCCCCCCACCTCCACCCCAGGGTCCCCCACCTCCACCCCAGGGCCCCCCACCTCCACCCCAGGGCCCCCCACCTCCACCCCAGGGTCCCCCACCTCCACCCCAGGGTCCCCCACCTCCACCCCAGGGTCCCCCACCTCCACCCCAGGGCCCCCCACCTCCACCCCAGGGCCCCCCACCTCCACCCCAGGGTCCCCCACCTCCACCCCAGGGCCCCCCACCTCCACCCCAGGGCCCCCCACCTCCACCCCAGGGTCCCCCACCTCCACCCCAGGGCCCCCCACCTCCACCCCAGGGCCCCCCACCTCCACCCCAGGGCCCCCCACCTCCACCCCAGGGCCCCCCACCTCCACCCCAGGGTCCCCCACCTCCACCCCAGGGTCCCCCACCTCCACCCCAGGGCCCCCCACCTCCACCCCAGGGTCCCCCACCTCCACCCCAGGGCCCCCACCTCCACCCCAGGGCCCCCCACCTCCACCCCAGGGTCCCCCACCTCCACCCCAGGGCCCCCCACCTCCACCCCAGGGCCCCCCACCTCCACCCCAGGGTCCCCCACCTCCACCCCAGGGCCCCCCACCTCCACCCCAGGGTCCCCCACCTCCACCCCAGGGTCCCCCGCCTCCACCCCAGGGTCCCCCACCTCCACCTCAGGGTCCCCCACCTCCACCCCAGGGTCCCCCACCTCCACCCCAGGGCCCCCCACCTCCACCCCAGGGCCCCCCACCTCCACCCCAGGGTCCCCCACCTCCACCCCAGGGCCCCCCACCTCCACCCCAGGGTCCCCCACCTCCACCCCAGGGCCCCCCACCTCCACCCCAGGGCCCCCCACCTCCACCCCAGGGTCCCCCACCTCCACCCCAGGGTCCCCCACCTCCACCCCAGGGTCCCCCACCTCCACCCCAGGGCCCCCCACCTCCACCCCAGGGTCCCCCACCTCCACCCCAGGGTCCCCCACCTCCACCCCAGGGCCCCCCACCTCCACCCCAGGGCCCCCCACCTCCACCCCAGGGCCCCCCACCTCCACCCCAGGGCCCCCCACCTCCACCCCAGGGCCCCCCACCTCCACCCCAGGGCCCCCCACCTCCACCCCAGGGTCCCCCACCTCCACCCCAGGGCCCCCCACCTCCACCCCAGGGCCCCCCACCTCCACCCCAGGACCCCCCACCTCCACCCCAGGGCAACCCACCTCCACCCCAGGGCCCCCCACCTCCACCCCAGGGTCCTCCACCTCCACCCCAGGGCCCCCCACCTCCACCCCAGGGCCCCCCACCTCCACCCCAGGACCCCCCACCTCCATCCCAGGGCAACCCACCTCCACCCCAGGGCCCCCCACCTCCACCCCAGGGTCCCCCACCTCCACCCCAGGGCCCCCCACCTCCACCCCAGGACCCCCCACCTCCACCCCAGGACCCCCCACCTCCACCCCAGGGTCCCAGCCCTCACGTCCAACCCAAGATCTCCACCTCAGGGCCTTACCTCAACCCCAGGGCATCTACATCCACCCCAGGGCCTCCGCCTCAGGATACCCAGCTCCACCCCAGGGCCTCCACCTCCACCCCAGCGCGCCCAGCTCCACCCTAGCCCCCCCACCACCTCCACGAAAGACCGAGGGCCGGCACCGCACGCTCCCCCCCTCACCCCCGCAGCGCGGGCCGACAAGCCCAGCAGCAACACCCAAATCGGTCCGCGAGCGCCCGAGCGAGGGGAGGGCGGCGGTGCGAGGGAGCGAGCGCGGGCGGCTCCGCGCGCGTCCTTACCCGAGCTCTCGGACGCGTGTTTACGGTGCCTCACGCTCGGCGCCTCCGCCATCGCGCCGCTGTTCCTCCTCCTCCTCCTGCTGCTGCTGCTCGTCCGACAGTGCGCGTGACGCCACCGCGTCGTGCGCGATGACGCCAACGCGTCGTGCGCAATGACGTCAACGCGTCGTGCGCGTGACGCCGCCGCGTCGTGCGCGATGACGTCGCGCGGCCCGACGCAATGGCGTCATCTCGCGCGAGCGTGGCCGCGGGTCCGGCACGTTGGGTGACGTCACCGCGCGCCGTTGCTTTTTGGCGGGAGTTTTGGAAAATAACAAATTGCGGGAGGACGTTCGGCTTCGTGCTCCTGACGTGCTTTTACGAACACCACAAGACCCATTAAACAATGACTGACGAAACTTTAGTCGCACTTTAGCAATAACCATGCCTACATCTATAGCTTTTTGGTCAGATTGCCAAGGAAATGTAAATTTACACAACGCTGCTCTAAACACTTCTACACTGGTTCTTCTGAATTAAAGGAATTAACGTTTGACTCTGAATCATCAACGTGCCTTAGTTTGACTCATAATCAATCAATTAATAATATTGAATAATAAGATTACTTAAGGTACCTAAGGCAATGATACTCATACAGTACCTGAGTCTGCCTCACCACGGCATTTAACTAAATCCTAAGACTACTAAAGATGCTTCATCATAACCCTAAGGAAACATCAAAAAGGTGCCTTTGAATATTAAACCATAATAATCGTAACGGTACATTAATGCTGGCCATGTCATGTGTGCAATTACATGATTTTGTGTGAAAATGCGTAAATATTTAATAGGGCGATGCATTCTGAAATCTGAATACTAACTTCAAAGGAAAGTTAAAACCCAAAATAACTTAGCCAATTACCTACGTGACTTTACCGAAAAAACCTAAGAGTATGAATCCTTGCAGTCACGAAAGCTTCAAATCTAGAACTACTGTGGATGAATTTGACAGAATGTCACGCCTCAGTGCAAACTGGAAACATTTGGAAGCAGCTGACATCATAATGTCAAACCCAGATCAGAAGGAACACAACTCAGATTAGCTTGTGAGAATGTAAATACTTTACTTACCAGCGTGAGATAGATCTATCTCTATATAGAGATAGATCTATCTCTATATAGAGTTAGATCTATCTATCTATATATAGAGTTAGATCTATCTATATAGAGATCTATATAGATTTAGATCTATCTATATATAGACATATCTCTATATAGAGTTAGATCTATCTCTATATAGATAGATCTATCTCTATATAGAGTTAGATCTATGGTTCCTCACCTCTCAGACCCCGTGGGCCACTGCCACCCATCAACATTTGCCCACCACCTTGCCATCCCGTACTTGACCATGTACAATTGTCTTTCTATTGTTCGATTACATTTCTTGGGGTCACCATTGTCTGTTGTGTAACCAATTAGCCATCGACAATGTGCATGTACATATTGGGTGTTTTCCTGTGGCCAAAACAAACAGCGCAGTAAAACTAAATGTTGGTTTCATACCACTGTCACCACACCCAAGACAAAAATGGCTTAAGAATTCATGTCAAGTGAATGAATCTCTGCTACAATATATGATAAGTGCAAAATTCGCGTGCAGCTCATTGTAATGTGATTCTGCAATGCTGCGCTTGGCCCGCGACTGGAAAATGCTAGCTGACATTGGCCGGCAACTTGTGTTTCCTCCGGAGATCGCAACCACCACCCTAAGACCTGACATGGTGCTCTGGTCCCGTTCGCTCAAGAAGGTCTTCATCATTGAGCTCACAGTACCCTGGGAGGACTCAGTAGATGAGGCTTATGAGCGAAAACATCTGCGCTATGCCGATCTAGCTGCCGAAGCACGGCATCATGGCTGGAACACAGAAGTCCGACCAGTGGAGGTGGGCTGCAGAGGTTTTGTGGCAACATCTACAACCAGACTGCTTAGAGACCTGGGAATTAAGGGCCAGAGCCAGCGTTCTGCAATCAAAGCTGTATCGGAGGCGGCAGAAGGCAGCAGTCAGTGGCTCTGGATGAAGAGGAAAGACCCCAGCTGGGCCCCAAAGTGAGAGGGCCAGGAAGTATGCAGTCAACAATGCTTGACTCAGGGAGGAGGACGCCCCTGCCATGCATAGTCCCATGGGATGTTGGCTACCAACAACAAGGCAACTCCTATGACTAATTGGGAATGGGACGCAAGCGTAGGATTGATCACCCTGTCGCTGGCCGCCTTTGGGGAGGGTGTATAGTATGAAAGGCCGAAACACCCTAGGACCCAAAGGTTCACTACTGACGATGCGCTCCCCAAATTTCACCAGGCTCACTGTTCATGAACTCTTGGAAGTGCTTGCACAAAGGATAATAACATCTCATCCTGTGTTCTTTGGAATCTGAATATGGGCTTGTAAATGCTTCTAATAGGCAATGACTTCTGTTGTTTTTCAGCAGATGTATCACTTATACAGCAATGTGTTAATTAATTATGCCAATCAGCTACAGTCATTTCATCTGCATCTTGTAAATTACAATGATTCTTAAATATGAACCCGAAAGTCAAATTGTACAAAAAGCAAGCCACACCAACATAGCAATTGAAGGTGTATGGGTTGGTGTGTGTACAGGAGTGTACATCAAGAATGTAACTCGGTGAGTGATATGTAGTTTATTTTGAGTTGAGCCCTGAAGCATGAAGCTATCATGCAAGCCCCGTGAAAGTAAATTGTGCTTACTGAGTAATAGTACAGGATGTACTTTCCATCCTCTGATGAAAGAGAACAAGTATTATGCTGCAGTTTGCATGTCAATGCCATAACAGAGTAAACACCTTGCATTTAACAAACACACAAGCACAATTATCAAGCTCATTTAAGATAATTATCTGTAATGTTTTAAGTACTGTAATTATAGTACAGTAGTTGGCACGTATTGTGACCGATACATCTAATACACATGGACAATCGTGTTCTGGGGCTAATGGCGGCACAGTGATTAGTGCACTGCTACATTAACCCGTTTATCTGGGTTTGATTCCCATCCATGGCTAACATAGCATCAGTGGTAAGTGATAATTGTAACAATGTTTTAGTTTTATAAAGTGTCATTAATGCATATTAAAAGTGGTAGAAATTGTAACAGTTTTTCACAAGCATGCACGGGAAAGGCGTCAACATTTCCCAAGCTCTGTGGTCCTATATTGTCATGTCTGATCGTGTCCTGGGCAGCCCTTTTACGAACCCGCACTGTCTAACGTGAAATGTGGTCAACCTCCAACACTTAAAATAACATGAGGAGGCCTTCATCCATAATTGGTTTGACAAAAGGCTGCATGTTATTTATGTTTAATCATGCCTCAGTGACAAAAGTAAATTAGGATGATGCTCTAGAAGGGTGAGATGCTAAATATTGTTATATTGGCACAAATATAGTTAAGCTTAATTATATAGGGAGGCTTTCTTTCACGACCAATATTATGATTCATAATTGGTTTATTTTGAATTAGGTCATCGTGTAAAAATGTGCGTCGTAAACCCTCTTCCACTCGACACAACCAATTCATAAAATTGCCACGTGAATCAAAAATGCCACATTTGTCACTGCTTCAGCGGATCGGTGCCGTGAGCCTCAACAGACGACTCACATTTTTACGCGATGAGCTAACCCAAAATAAACCAATAATGAATCATAGTGGAGCCTTAGAACTGAAACAAAATCTGATACCCAAAATATTCAAATGTGGGCCCCCAAAAATTGCAGTACTGCCCAGAAGTTGATCAGCTTCAATCAACCTCTAGTAACGTTGTACGTACAATCTTACCATTTCAAACGAAGAAGAATTTGTGTCGAATGAATGCAAATTAAAAAGGCATATGGAACTCATGAATACACCACTTCACATATATTGGAGTAATGTCGCATACAGTGGTGATGGTGAGGTCACACACACTTCTCAAGTTAAAATAAGGGTCTTATGAGAGTGCCCAGCAGGGGGCATTATATTGCCAAATGACAGCGAAACCAGTGCAACGCTAATGAGAATAAACAACGATTAATGCTCGTTGGTGGACCCAAGAAATTCTAAGTCTCAAGACTTTTTCATGAAAATCATACATTGGGATGTTTGGCCAGTTCCACGTATGCGTGTTTTGTCATCTGGGAGAACGCAGGGAAAACCCAGGCACCTAAGTGGGTAAAGCTTAAAGCTCTGCACAGATATATCTGAGAACTCAATGGTGGCCTGCCACCACATATCCCGACAATCTTGGAGCCCAAGCCAACCTGGTATTCCCAGGTAGTCTCTCATCCAAGTATGAACCAAACTAAACTCTTTATTCTGAGTTCCAATGATGTCAGCCACATTCACGGTGATTTTGTTGCAGACGAGTGACACCACTGATGTATTCTCATTGAGCAATCATCTCGTCAGCTCATTCGAAGGCGGTGTCCTCTTGCCCCGGGGAGCTCACGACGTCATCTCGTGTATCTCATTCCATGGACCTATTTCCAGGATTTTGTCATCTCGGAGATGAATGATGTCTCCTGGGTTTGAGGCGATGTCTTCACGCGTGGGGGGTGAAGTCGTCTCACACCAAGGTGACGATGCGGGGTGGAGAGGGGCGACTGAGGCTGGGCCCAGCCGTCGACTTGCTTTCCAAGCGTTTGCGTCGCCGCTCAGCTGCAACGAGAAACAAGCGACTCCTTGACACAACGACACTCATTCTTTCCACTTTGAATGGGACGGCATTCGTGTTATTATGCCAGGGCTAAGAGCTAATTCAGTTAACTCTGACACAATCCAGTCCCACTGCTCATTGTAATCACGAGACGGCTCACCCGAGTTCGAAACTAAGAAGCCAATTGTCAAAGTCATGAGCTGCTTTGAGAGACGAGGCCACAACCTCTGCCCTGCGACTCAGGCTCCAGTCACCTGCCAGGACCACCATGGCCACCCCCCAGGTGACACTCCAGAGCCAGCCCACAAGCAGGAAGGTGACGGTCAGCAGCTGCGAGACGCCCACCCACAGGTTGAGGCAGGCGAGGGACGCGGCCTCGCTGCCACCGCCGCAGAGGCTGATGGCCGAGAGCACGGTGCCTGCACCACCCAGCACGGCACGGGGACATTGTGGTTAGACAAGCGTGCGTTGTGTAAGTCACCTTGGTTTTTTTTCGATTTAAAGCTTTCGTGACTGCAGGGATTCATCTTCTTGGTTCTTTCGGTAAAGTCACGTAGAAGGGAAGTAATAAAATAATAAAAATAAAACATAATAAAATATTATATTATCTTATTATATTATTATATTATTTTATTATGTTTTATTTTTATTATTTTTTATTATTTTATTACTTCCCTTCTACGTGACTTTACCGAAAGAACCAAGAAGATCACATTGTTTTGTACACTGCGGGTTTACCCCTGACAGTATCAGTGAAACACCGACGTCACTCATTTACTGACGATGCAAAATGTGTACGTGTACTGAACACTAGTGATTTAATAATACATCAATTAATATTGATTCTAGTACTGGTTTAAAATCACGTGTAGGAATCTATTATTTACAATGTGTACAAATTACAGCGAGGCTTACTGGAGGAAATAAAGCTGCACGAATGAGAAAACATTGGGAAAAATACAAACAAAACGAAAAGCCATTGATACTTGAATCGAATTACGACTGATTCATGACAATTTACCACTCTCAAGGAGCCATGGGGCACCGCAGTGGCGAGATGTCAACTCCCTCGCCTGGTATGCAGGAGGTCGTGGGTTCCATATCGCCTGGCGCCTGCATATTTGGAGTTTAAATGTTCTCCCCGTGGTCGTGCGGATCTTTATCCGGGTGCTCCAGTTTTTCCCTCCATATTTAGAAACATGCGTTTCGAGTATTTGGCTGCTATACATTTCCACATGATAAGCCACTTTATTGGGCGAATAATAATTTGTGGCCAGATCGCTTTTGAAAAAAAGAGCAATATAGCTCAGTGGGCCTTACCTGGTAAAATAAAAAAATTCTTCAAACGACCCAACAGATGAAAACCTGAGGGTGCGATATCTGCAATGTAACAGCAGTCTTCCTGAACTGAGCGAAATCATCTGGTATTCTCTGGATCCTGCGTGGCCTGGTCGTGGTGAGATATTCGCAAGGTACACGAGGGCTTCAGCCATCTTATAAATGTTCACAACATCACCGTGAACATGTGAAGCAGTTCAATGTAAATTTAGCGAGTAAAAAACATTGGAGAAATTACTTTTTGAAGATTCCTGCTATTCAGGTTCCTAAAAAACATTGAACATGGACCACTCTCTGGCAATGGGAATCGTATTACCACGAAATTGACGACTGTGTCGTCCATGTCATCTCTAAACTTTACCACCTCGCTAAAAGAACAATATACAGGGAGTCCAACATTGCACAGGACTAAACCCATGTTCATGTTTACATCTAGCTTAATTAACTGAAATGTGAATAGACAACTGACAAATTCCTGCATGGCTTCAAGTTGTATAAAAGTCTGCAGGTGTAATACAGCCGTGCCGTCACGTCCCATCGCCCTGTGCACGCAGTGTACGCGAAGTTGACGGAGATGCAAATACCCGATCCTGGGAGGATAATGTTCAGCAGCAGGCACAGAACCGCGAGTGGCACGCTCATGGCAGGGATGGCCGCCTTCATGCCACCAGCACCGCCACCGCCGCCGCCGATGAGAAGGACTCCGGGTTGCGGGTCACCAGCTGGCGTGGAGGTCACAGGGTCCTGTGCGGCAGCAGCAGCAGCGGCGGTGGGACCCCGACCCACCGGGCCGGACGCCGGTCGCTCAGCCAGCAGCACCACAGCGGGTGGCAGCAGCAGCAGCAGCGAGGTGGTGCGGTGCGGTGAAGCGCCGTGAGCCGGAGCCTGGCCAGGGGGTCTCGGCGATGCGGGCGACAGCAGCACGGTGGGCTGCGGCTGAACGTCAACCCTCCTGGGTCCATCTTGTGAGCCAGGTGCTCTCTCCAAGCCAACATCCATTCTCGAGCACCACGACGTCTACACTTTATAGATCCGAAGGAGTGCCGTCCACGGGCAGCAGTGAAGGCCACAAAGTACAACACTGTTCATTAATGCAGGTTGAGTGAGATTTGTTATACTGTATGAAATGTGGAAGGAGCAGCCTTGCCCTGGAAAAATGTAAGGTGGGTTTAAACATTGAAGGGAATGTAATCTGTCAAAGTACAGGCTCGCTCAATTAAGCACTACCCCCCACCCCACACACGGAGTTCCACATTGGTGGTCTTCACAAACACGTGGCTGGAAAAATGGGAGGGTGGGAGGATGGAAGCGGGGCCCGAGTTAAAACCAACAGAGCACAGTGCGTTTTGCGGCAGGGTGCAGCTTTGTGAGACGCTCAAGCGAGATGGAATGAAGACCTGGTTTCCAAGCGACGTCGGCTGGAGGTCAGCAAAGGGGAGTCACTTTCCACCCGAGGATTCTATTGACTTTCACGTTTATCAGTTTGTTAAATCGCTCCAGATGCAACGGAGGTGCTCTGTCATTGCTGACATGTACTTAAATATTGGGAGATTTTAAGTAGAGTTGAGGATCTCAGCCTAGTCACAAATGACTGCTCAAACATTAAGTTGGGTTTGCATTCAGTTACATTTCAGCTTTGAGATCAACGCTTCAGGAGGGAAATATGTATCCGTAGCAAAGCAGGTGGCAAAATACTGCCACCTGGTGTATAGGTCACTTCAATTTCAAAATGTGCCGCTGTCCTGCCATGAACCTCTTGCAGTGCAATGTCGTTTTGCGAGTTCTGAAATCTTTTGGCTCATGACCCGACACGTAATCAGAATGAAATTGAGAATGTTACCAAATCCAAATCGTGCCCCAAACCCATTTTTTTACATTCCCCAGGATATCACCATATCCCACAATCCATCGAGCGAACGCACGAGCGATCCTCGCATGTTTGGTCATTTACGGAGGCCTTTCCTTTGCTATTTCAAACATCGGCCATTGTGGTGTCCTACCTATGCCCACTTCCTTAATGTCTCCAAGCTCATGCTCAATCTATTCCAGTTCAATTTTAAACATGCATCTCTCTCCATGCTTATGTTTTTTTTCCAAACACCGTTCTATTTTCTCTTGGGGTTTATGTTTTCAAGTGTACTACCTGCTAAAGACATGTACTATAACAAAATGGCAACCCATGTTTTCAATGGGATTTTAAATGAGTTGACGTATTTTTACGAGCCCCAAGGTCTTTGGCATTTCAGAGCTCCCCATTATGAAATTAAATGGGCAATATTAGTGCATGGGCGACAGCAGAGAGTATCACTCGTGGGAGCAAAACTTTCGCTATGAGCAGGTTGATAACACTCGAATTGTAAATGATCATCACACAACTGTTTTTGGCCACATTAATTGGAGCCGCTAAAGTTATGGCACCCGAGTACTGCCAAGTGAAATCTGGTCTGAGCTAATGGACAAAAAAGCAATGCACACTGTAGACAAACTCGGCAGGTTAAGGAGATAAATCATAAAAAAAACTTTTTTATTATTTTTATTTCAACATTCTTCATTTCCAGACAGCAAATGCATGTTTTACTGCAACCTTTTAAACCTTTCGGTGCAGTCAGTATAAAAATCTGCATTCATCCTCCAAAAATGACAACTAAAATGTAAATGAGTCAATTTGCACTTTCAATCTATCACGGTTAACTCTTAAGAGTGATGGACATTAACAAATTATACAAAGTGACAATAATGATGACGCCAATGTTCAATACAGCATGAACATGTTGAGTTGTCTTCTATGAATGCTGGGCAGTGGAGAAGCACAGTTTGAGGGTGTAGGGGTATGGTCCATCTGAGAAGACAAAAAAAGGCATCCACATTACGTTTTCACTGGAGCACAAAAACGTAAAACAATTAAACGATTCTTAAGAGGGCCTTTGTCAATGTTGACAAACTGTTCAGGGAGCTAAGATAACATTTGGTTTTGACAAGTGCAAGTGCTTTCTATGTCAATTTTCAATTCCATTCTATACATAATTCCAAAAGACCATAAATAACAACCTGTTAATATAATACAACAATCTAAAACTGCTTTGACTTTCGGCAATTTCACCCAAGGCTGCTATGCACCCAGTGTACAGATGGTGCTATGGTAACAAGCACACCCAAAGCTTAACATTAGGTGCTCAACAGAGCATATGACCAAAGATTTGCTGATAATGCAGCACCACTGAAATGTTAATCACACCAAACAAATGTCTACATCTCACAACTTACTTGCGTTCTTCAGGGAATGATGGTTAATGCATGCCAGAGCCTCCATGGCATCGTTCTTGTTCTCCCACTCCATCAGGCCGGACATGCTTTTATCGCCTGGACACATGGACGGACCATCACTCATGTAGTCACTTGGGTCATAAAACGCAACACCCTTTGCCATGTTTAAGGGTAGTGTCAGTCGTGGGTGAATTGCGCAGCAGGAAGGCACCAGTCAGCTAGGGCGCGAGCGAATACCAAGGATTGCTCTTGGGAGAGAATTTCTCACAAGGTTTCTTTAGCATCGACTCATATCACACATTGCAGATAATCTGGTGTCGTGCTGTAATACAAGTGACGATTGTATGGAGAATACAGTACACGCTCGATTTATTTTGTGCCATGACATGTCATATAAAAAACAAATATACTTTGCGGGACTTACTTTTTCCAGAAAACGCTTTGAAAGAAAGGGGCCTCGCAATCGACAGTTCATCACACAGCTGCAAAGACAGAACGGGCAGCATTCACGTTATAGTTGGTAATAGTTAACATGCACTGGTAAAGCACTTGGGAGATTTGTCCCATTGTCCAATTTTAAGATTACATTCACCAGCTTGGAGCAGTCTTTCAAAGTGCTCAGATTATTAACACCAAGCATAGAATCAGGGGGAATGCAACCATTTGCAGAAACAATGTATAAACACTGAAATGTAAACCTTTTGAATGCGAATGAATAGTAATGTATTAAACAGGACAAATTCATGTGAGGCGTTTGTCTCATCTGTAAAAAAAAGTCCCTTTGGAACATCAACTACATTATTTATACATTTTATGTTTCAACTGCTGAAAGAAAACTACATTACACCATTTTACATTTTGCCCATCATAGGGACCATGGCAGTCACCACAAACGCCACAATATCAATAGGCTGATCTTAAAAACCCATAATTGTTTCACGCACTAACTTTGGACTTAAATATTTATAAACTTAATCTGGGAAAACTTAAAGAACCGAATGCACTCCTCCTTTTGAGCTGCTGGCAGGCTGAAGGGCCGGTGGCACGAACCTGCATGAATATCTCAGCCGTGATGTCCATGGGCGCGTTGAAGAAGTGCAGCACCGTAGTGGGCTGCTGGATGCGGTTCTTGGCTGCCTTCTCGGCATTGGCGAAGCGGTTGTTGCGAGAGCCTGTGAAGTCCTTGTAGCTGTTGGTGCCGTCCGGCAGCTCGTATGCCTGGCCCGGCACAATCGACTGCTGCTTCGACACACTGCCGAGACGAGGGTGGAAGAGGGGAATAGGCAAATACACTTTTTTTTTAATCATGTGCAAATTTCACTTTCAATAAAGGCTCTGGGGACAGCAAGCCATTGGTCCTCATGACCTGTGTGACAAGTGTTTAGTCATGGTATTTATCAGTTCTTTTTTTCACCATCCTAAAATTAGTCAATTGCACCAAAAAAAATTAAGTGTCTTCTCTAAAGAGAAAGCAGTATCCAATTACATTAACAGGATGACGAGTTAAATTGACCAATTTAACACGTAACAAAAAGGCTCACCAGAGGTTGATTTTCTTTCCAAAGATCTGAGACATGTTGAGGTGAGATACCGCCCTGTCCACAGCATACGGATCTCCCATCTCGACCATGGCGGCTCCCGGCTTGCTCTTCAGGAACTTAACCTACAAGAATACAACCCCCGTAACACAGTTCAGCATCGTGCAGCTTGTAGGAAAATCTAGAAGTTGGTTGTAATGCATTGTTAAAACGTGAAGTGTTGGCCGAAGAACCATTATAAAACATGCACAAAAGACACTTAGCATAGAGTCCATTTTTGTAAAAAAAGCAAATGTGTATGTTGTCAACCGGTTAACAAATTTGGTCGTGTGAATCTCCCACTTTATACAACACGATAAGTGCACGACATGTACCACACATTTATAAGCACTGCACCACGATTGACTCTTTGGAAAAAAACGGGACTAATTTCAAAGCATGTGCACAACATCCAGCGAACGCACCTTCTCAACGTTGCCGAAGAGGCAGAGGATGTTAAACACGCGGTCGCAGTTGATGCGCTCGGCATCGAAGCCGTACACCATGAGGACCTTGTTGCCGGCCTGCTGGTTCATCATGGCCTGCATCTGCATGTGCTGGCCCTGGGGGCCCTGGGGCCCACCCTGGTTGCCCATGCCCATTCCTCCTCCCATGCCCATTCCTCCCCCACCACCCATTCCTCCGCCACCGCCCATTCCTCCCCCTCCCATTCCTCCCCCACCCATTCCTCCCCCACCCATGCCCATACGGCCGCCGCCAGATCCGTTGCCGTAGCTGACGCCCGGTGGTGGCGGCTGCTGGTAGCCTGTCACGCAAACACATAAGAGGGGGAAACACGTTGTGAACAGCTGAAACTCTATAAACTTCTCTGAAAACCAGATTTACCACAGCCATCATCTACACGTTTGTGCCCTTTCCTATTAGATCAAGTAACCCAGGATTAACCACTCTACTCCTTGCTTCTTGGAGACACCGGAAAACATTTGTCCAGAAAACTCCAAGGCCCAGGGAATAGACTAAACTATTTTTTATTTTAGGTTGAGGCCCACCAAGCTAGAGCTCTTATTCAGCATATATATTTTTATACCCAATACATCTGATAACCGTTGGCAATATCTTCTCTTAAAACACAAGCATACGTTGCGGTTGTTAATCACAAATAGGTTTTTAGGATACACCTTAACACCAATTCCAAATAAGAAATGTTATCAACAGGCAGGTTTTCAATCCGACAGCAAATTGAAAGAAACCATAATGATATCATTCGCAACAAGGGGATTACCTCCATATTCGCCACCACCACCGTAAGCGTTTGCTTTGGGATGGTCGCCAAGGAGAGCAGTTTGCTTTGCTGGCATCATTGCATTTTCCGCTGAAAACAAAAAAAATGTCAAAAC